TCGGTGTTCACTGCGTCACCCGCAAAAAGGCACATGCGGGTGAAGGTGCGGATATACTCATCCACCGTGGAGCTGCCCTGCTGCAAGTGGTAAAACTCGTGCTCCATTCTGTCCCAAAAGCTCTGTGGGAGAAACTTGCTACGCATCATCATCTTCATTTGCTCCCAAGAGAGTGCATGAAACTCCACCTCTGGCCTCCGAGCCCAGTGGTCAATCCACCAGTCGGAAGCGTCCTCCTTCATCTGATAAGCTGCGAGGGACACTCGCTGACGGTCAGGGAGGGGAAGCACAACGAAGATCTTATCCAGTTCTTTGATCCACTCTAGCACCGCTGTGGGGTTCTCAGTCCCTGCAAAGGTTGGTGCATTCATCCTCTGAAACTGAACGATAAGCTGAGTAAGATCCATGGTCGGATGGGCCTGGTGCTGACGGAGCGGAGAAGGTTGCGGGGATGCCTGACGGTTACGGTTGTTGCGAGTATTCATACTTCTACATTGAATAAGCCGAACGAGGTTTACCACAAAAACAAACAAAATAATCAATATATTAGAAGTCTAGAGTTCGCCTATAGACACTAGAGTTCGATTAAAACAATGTGGATAGATCCTAAGCCCCAATTCATTACATCAATAATCAATTATATATAATAATCTCAAAATTATTCAAGTACTCATACCTGAGCTGGCGCGGCACGACGAGAGCGAGTGGTCATATCACAAGGTCAAAGCACATAATCACATAATCAATACTTAGACCAGTCTACAGAAACGCAGACTAGCTCTGATACCAAACTGTAACGCCCCACTTTTATTTATCGAAAATCAGAATTTATTTATTTATTTTTTTTTAAAATTTATTTCAAAACACATGGCGGCGCTACTCATTTCCAAAACAGTTTCCAGTAATATCAATAATGTAACTTCCAAACGGGTTCAATAATCATGCCAATACCCAGACCGGGTTCATAAATAGCATCAACTCCCTAAACTGGGTTCCTCAAAATCATAAATACTAGGGAGTTCACTCCCAAACAATAATCCGATACTCATTATTCAAAAAACATAAATAACAATTCAAATAAGCCGAAGCAATATCAGATATATGACCACCACTCGCCTTCCTCCGTCGTGCCCGCAATACTAACCTGCATCCATGAAGAGCAGGTGGGGATGAGCACAAATAGAAACATTAGTGCTCACCACTATGCAATATATGTTAATCTCAATAATAAACAATGATCAATAATCAAAAGTATGGTCTCAACATGTATACGTAAATAATTAGTTATCCCTACCTCCTATCCCAAGTTCGTTCTCATCTGCACACCTATATCAATAGACTACTGCCGACAATATATCGAAAGCCACGACCCTCGGCCTTCTGGTCTTACAACGAGTGTCCAGCCAGTAGGAGACTCCTCCGAAGGCCCGGCCTCGCCATCGGACTTACATCGGGGTACTTATCGCTGACCGAGCACGGCCCTGGTCTCAAGCGACGTGTCCTTCGCAAGGACGTAAAGAGGAGATTACCCCATCAGGTCGTTCTATAGTTACGGGGATAACCATTCGATGGCCGATACAGCTCACATCGAAGGCTACATGTTCCACATGCATACTTTGATCACACCAAGTAAAATAATAATAATAACAGTAATAACATTTAAAGCATAGCTAATTTTACAAAACCCACCTGGAAATCGCAGTAGAATATTGCACACAAAAGTAAATACGTAGGT